TAAATACGGTTTATAATTATTAATTTCTTTTCAATTTGACTCTTTTTAAAAGAAAATAAATATTTTTAAAATTATTCCAAATTAAGTATAAAACATATAATTTGAATCCGTTTTTCTAATAAAATGTTATTAGAAAAACGGATTCATATAATACGTCATTTTTATTTTTTTCCACTCTTTTTTTTTTCTCCACTTACTTTTTTTTTTAAATAAATAAACTACCCCAGAGACTGATTGGTCTATAATGACCAAGAGAACCATGATTCAAACACTTGGGAATTAGAGTAAGCAAAGTGTGATTCTAGTACCTTAACATCCTCCCAGAATGAAAGAAACTTAAGATTGTAGATCTAGCCCCAAATGCAGTGCTACTTCTCGAAAATTGATTTTGGCTCGATTCAATCCCGATTTCAGTCGCATGATAGGTTTGCATGTCATTGCATGGTTCCATACACATTACCAGTTTTTGAAAAGCATACCTCTTATTGTTTCCAAGAGGACAGTGGATGTAAATACATACAAAATACTTATCACCCTTACTCGTATCTGGTACCTTCATGAAAAGCCTTGTGAATATACTATCAACCCCCAACCCTCGTCCACTGTCGACCCCTAGCCCTGGGTCCTGCGGCCGTCTGTTGACCTTCAGTAGAAGCAGCATCCGAGTACTCGAACTCAAAACCCTCAGGGATATCTTCTATAGTTTTAAAGATGTGCGCGATCTCCCTGGGAGACACGTCATCAGGTAGACCCAGAACGTCTGGGTATACTGTCACCGTAGCAATCGATGACCACTCATAGATTCTATATTTTTCTCTTTCGTGGTCGTACTTCACAAGAACTCGACAATTATAAAATAAATGATAGAAATGAGAGTATTAAGGAGATTATCGAAGAAGGTGGTGATGATACTTTGGTGTCAAAATGAAGTGGAGGTTTTAGAATTTTTTTTACAATTGGGGAACTGACAGTTCAAGTTCGAAGCGATGATTCAGACAGTTCAAGGTCGAACCGATGGTTCAGAAGGTTCAAAAAGATCTTGATCGTGGGATCTTAACAGTTCCGAGCCTGACTGGGCCAGAACCAACAAAAAAAATCAAACTTTTTTGAAAATTTAAATTTTAAAAAATTTTGAAAATTGTGTCGGGCCGGTTACGATTCACAACTGAAATTGGAACTGGCGATTTAATTTTTTCTAAAAAATTGTGAACTTGTTGTCCCAGATCAAACTACGGGCCGATTCAAGACCCGTGGTTAAAGGTTCAAAACCCAAACCGTTGGCCCATGGGCTGGTTCTCGGTTGCAAGATGTCTATGGTGCATTTTATCAACTTATCTAAAAAATATTCATTGTATGATCTTGTGAGCATAACAAACTTTCATGGTATTTGAGATTCTTTGGTATTTTTGGATTTTAAGAAGGGCTTATTTACATACTTACCTTAGTGATTGATAAATATTTGTAAAAATACTAACTACATAATTTATTTGCAAATATACCTACTTGACCATAAAAAATTATATCAATGCCAGATGTGTAACAGATTTGGATAATCTCTTGACTTACGGGATTCTTCCATAAATGAAAAAAAAGTTATATATGGTAAGCTAGATGCAAAATTAAGTTGAAGATAGAATCCTATAAAACAACATTTCAAATTTGAATTAAAAAAATCAGTTTATGTTGAATATAAACTGATTTTATACATAAAAATTATGTCTCGCGATAAATTTTCTTTATCATATGCCGAAATATACTTAATATAAACCATACATATACACAAAAAAAAAAGACAAAAAAAATCAATTTATGCTTGTCAATTTCGTTTCAACAGAAAAAATCTTATAATATACCAAACATAAACTATGATAAACATTGAAAACAGAAAAACAAACATTCATTCAAAAACTAATTTGTACATAAGTTAATATACCAAACATAAACTAAGATGTACAATAATTGTACTTATCCCAGTATATGTACATATATTGTACATAAACTGTTCATATACTGATCATAAATTAATTTCAATGTACAGATTGATCTGGGGATTTCAATGTACTGACCAATTACAGAGTTCAAAAACCCTAAAAAAATCGAACCAAAACATTGATTTTCCTTCAACACCTCCCGGCGGCTCCTCCTCCTCCTCCTCCGCCCCCTCCACCACCTTCCCGCTCCCCAATCGGAACGGTCTCCTACTCCCATTCTTAAAACAGAAAACTCCATTACCTTGGCATAGAAACCGGATCTCCGCTCTCCGCCGCCGATCCCTGATTTCTCCGCCGTCTTTCCCTCCGTCCCCGGTGGATTCGCGCGAAGCCGGCCGCTCATCGACCGGACTCTCCCTATACACGAGACCTTCGGTGAACCCGATTCGGCCTCCGTAACCATGGTTTTTTTCTGTTTGGGGAAAAGCCCCGCATTCGTGGCCTTGCAGGTCCTCCACTTCGAATCGGCGAACGCCGCCTTCTGAGTCCACACCGCTTATGTGCATCCACACCGGCGCCGTGATTGGGGGATCACCGGCTATGGGAGGGATCTTGGTTTTGGCCATAAAAGTGAAGGTATGATTTACTGAAGAGAAACATGTGTTGAGGGGGTAATCGGTTTAGTCATGGGAGAGATAAGGAGTAATAATGCGTGATTTTAGGGAGTTAGTTTTGATTTTTTATTGGTAACTGTATCTAATCAATCTATATTAATTGTCTAGTATATATGCAAATAAAGTTTCATGATTTTGTAATTATGCTAAAGTTTATGTTTGAACCGTATAAGTGCAAATAATTTGCTGTTAAGTTGTTCCCCATATAATTTCCTCTTTAAGAAGTTGGGTGGGCTAGCGCGGGCTTGATGAAATTGTCAGCCCAACACATAATAATTGGGTGGGCTAGCGCTGGGTTAATTTTATCAATTCGACATTCATTCATAATAAATAAATGGCTGACATTAAGGGATATGACACCTTATTAAGTTTTGTCAATCCAAATAAATGAGCCTAACACATGTTGCAATGTAAACTTCTCTAAAGAGAAGTCTCCAATGGTATATGAGCTTCCTTATTATTCTTATTTTTTTTTACGTTGTGTGATTAATAAATTAATGCCTACTTTTTTCTACATACATAGATTTCTTCTCACATATATGACTACCTATCTCACATTTATTATAAGCCTTTATCTCTCTAAATTCCCAAACCCTAAATCCCCATTCTAGTCGTTGACCTTCTTCATCCGCCGTCTGTCTCCTCCCAGCAAGGAGCTCCACACGGGCGTGCTGTTGCCACCGCAGGTCATGGCCCCCGACCTTTCGTCGAGGTGGGGATTTCGCGGTCGATTGGTGCTTTGTGGAGCTGCGATGCTCCGACTGACCTTCGAGTGTGCAAGGTTTTCGGCGTCTCGATGGCAAGGCTGGGCAGCGTGCTCCCAACTTTTGTCAGGTGGAGGTTGGAGTAGAGGTGTTCTCTTTCTCCCCTCTTTTTTCTTGCTTACTCGGGGTTGGTTGGTAAGTCTCTGCCGGTAGTAGTGGGCTGTCGCCGGTGGCTGCTCGCCTAAAGCTGTAGGTGGATGTCCAGGGGGTTTGATCTTGGGGATTTCGTGGTGCCTTGTTTCCGCCAGGTTCTCAAGTTGTCTCTGGGGTTGGGAGACTGGTTGCGTCATGGTGAAGGTCGAGGGCTCTGGTTGTCTGTTGGCTTCTGGTTGCCGGACGAAAGGGGTTGTGGGAGTTTGGGGCTGACGGAAGGCTTCCGTCACATTGGTTCATGGGTGTCTACTTGGGAGAGTTTTCGGGGCGGGAATATTGGATCTTGTAGGTGTTTTCTGCAGTTTTAGACCTCAGTGCTTTGGCTCGGTCTTCTGTCTGTTTGGGTGGGTTCTCTTGGTGGTGGTGGCGGGGTCTCGCAGAGTTTGCTTTTCTGTTAAGGAGGAGGACTCTAGTCTGTTTTTTTGTTTTTTATTTTGTCGTTGTGTTGTGCGTGTGTTTTGTTGGTCCTTTACTATGCTGTTTGGCGCTTAAGACGTAGGTGACGGGCCCCGATTGGGTTTCGACCCCTAACTGGTTGCCAGTTATGGTGAAGGTCGATCGACTCTTTACGTGTTGTGGCTGAGTGGGTTTGTAGTGTGGGTGGGTTGTTTTCGTTTTGTTGTGTGGTATTCTTCTTTCATGTTCCTGTGTTTGTGTTTTCACCGGTGGAGAGTTTTTATTCTCCAGTTGTGGAGCTTCTTACTTTAGCTTTGTGTTGTTTGTGGGTGAGTTGTGAGCTATTATTAGCGTCTAGACGATCATCAAATTTGTCCTCCCGTTAAATTCAGCTCAAGAACTGCCTTATTAAGCTGTCGGGTTGTACTGTTATTGTAATTATATCTTTTCTTGTATAAAATTACTGTCATTTCGACAAAAAAAAAACTCACATTTATATATTATTCCACCAACTTTCATATATAATTTAACAATTTGAGATATAATCTCTCATTCCAATTTCTTCTTATCTCAAATTGTAAAGGCCTTGATTTCCACCTTTACCACTGACCCCATGTGGCCAAGAATAGATAGCCATGGAGCCAACCCCATGTGGCCAAGAATAGATAGCCATGGAGCCAAGTACAAATATTAATCCAGCCCACCTGTCCTTACTTAGCAAGAAAACCAACCCTGAATTTTGTCAATAGAACAATAGAAAACTGTGAAAAGCACTCTCCCCTTCGAAAATCCCCATCCCACAACCAATCCCCTTCCCCAATTTGCTTTCCCACTTGACTTATTTTAATGCTAAATTGGCCCCTCCATTCACAATTCACAAGTGTGGACGACAGAGAAAGTGGTATAAAAATTGCATTTCGGACCATTCAGGCTAGTTGCAGGTGCCCATGGCGGTGTGCTTTTGAACTGTTGGGAAAACCTCTTCTTGACTTTGATTCTCTCTCTCTCTCTCTCTTTCTCGCTCTCGCTCTCTCATACTACCCTCATCTTTTCCCGTGAACTCTGAACCGTCCGATTCGAAAATGGTTAGCCCGCTGAAGGACGACAGGCGTGCCGGCGGGCCGGAGGAGGATTTCATCCGAGGACACCACAAGCATGACGTCGGAGAAAACCAGTGCAGCTCCTCTTTTGTCAAACACATCAAGGCCCCTTTGCCTCTCGTGAGTTCTGTTCTGTAATACAGATTTTACACTTCGATTCTTATTCAGATCTGCGAATAATTGGATGAACTGGAGAGGGTTTTTTTTTCCCCTTTTTGAAATGGGTTTGGATTGAATTTGATTTTTTTTTTATTTCTTTAGGTGTGGTCGTTGGTGAGGATATTTGATCAGCCGCAGAGGTATAAGCCGCTCGTGAGTAGGTCCATAGTGCGGGGCGATTTGCAGATAGGGATTGTTCGANTTTTTTCCCGATGGATTGTTTTCAAGTTATGGTTTTGATTCAACTTGTGTGATTGCCGTTGTTTGGGTGTGATACAAATATGGTTTTGGCATCATTAAACACGAGACCTGTCATTTGTTCAAAGTCAGCTGCATTTTGAGCTTCTCAATTAATAACAAGTGTCAAAACTTCGTCTGTGAACTACCATTCTTGATTTCTTGTACACTATCTTTTGGTTCTTGGCCCTTTTTTCTTTCCCCCTTGTATCATAATTTCCGGTGGTGCATTTTGGTTTCTGTGTCACAATGCAGTGCTTGGTTGGCCTATGTACATCTTATGCATTTTCTTTTTTTCATATATACTATTTTTTTATTCAAATGTGAAAAGTTTCTTGATATGATGAAAGCTAATATTTCTAATCCATCTATTCTTTGGCCGGTAGATTCAATATCTTTCAGCACAAGGAAAATATTTTACCAAAATGAGCTCTCAAACAATTGGTTGAGTTATCCATATGGGATTGTACTACTTTATTTCTTTCAATAAACTCATTTGCCTTTTTCTCCTGCAGAACTACTCCTCGATCATAACCGTCCATCCCGAGATCATAGATGGAAGGCCAGGGACACTGGTGATCGAGTCCTTTGTGGTGGATGTTCCGGAAGGTAACACCAAAGACGAGACGTGTTACTTTGTGGAAGCTCTCATAAAATGCAACCTCAAATCTCTGGCTGATGTCTCGGAGCATCTAGCTATGCAGGGCCAAACAGACCTAATCGAAAGATTCTAAGCAATGTGTGTATGTTTGATTGAGAATTTGCTGCTTTATAAAAGCCCAATCAATGAATGAATCAATTGGCTTTGCAGGAAAGAAAATGAGATAATTTTCGGTATAAGTGAGTCGAGAGACGGGTTCTGTGCCGGTCCTCCTCGTCGGCCTTTGTCGTGCATCTTAGTTCGTTTTCTTTTTTCTTTACGTGTTCTGTGATGTTTTGCTTTAGTTTCTTTGTAATGGGTTTCTCTGTATGTTCAACCCAGTCATTTTCATGTATGGTAAGACATCCATTTTGTTCTGATTGAGATTTGGGTTGTATATGCTTTAGGATCATGTAGGATAATAAAGATGAGATTTCTTATTTTGTGTTTTAATTCTTGTTTTATTCCATTGTATGATTATGACATGATATTTCATCCAATTGTCGGAAACAAAAATTGGAATATAATTTTGGAGCACATCTTTTTTACTGGATAATGATGGCTTGGATATGTTTGAACTGTGTTGTGGAATATGTAGCTAACATTAGTTATAGCATCTTTCTGGAATATCCCATGAGCTTTAGGTTATGCACCAATGATGAGTTGTTTTGGCCTGTGTGACTTTCAATCAACCCAATGCAGATGCAGTGGACTTGAAGGTTGGCCTTTGAGCTTTCTCAAGGGCCAAATTGTTTTATGATTCATTCACGTGATTGCCCTTTGGCAGGAGAAATATTTTCTTTTCATTCATTTCCATTTTTTCTTTTTTAGATCTTTGGAAATGTTTCATTGAAAAAGGAAAAATTAAGTAAATTGTTGTAGTACCCTAATCATAGGCTTTAAATTTCAGTGATTACCTCTTCAGAATATAAAAGCCAAAGTAGGTGACCGAATATCTACTTTTTTTAATGGTAGTGTGGTGGTTTGCTAAATGGTTCATATACAACAACAACAACATAGCCTTTAGTCCCAAGCAAGTCGGGGTAGGCTAGAGATGAAACCCAAGAGAAACACAAAAATACTCGAACCGAAAGGAAGAGATCGAAAAAAAAAACAAACGAGAGAAAGAGAAAGGAGCAAAAGTCACTGGCACGTTGATA